CTTCCGAGGTTGCATGTCAGCAGGGAACAATCTACTAAAATTTCAGCTCTCTAGCTTCTCTGGTTGCCGAGTTGAAAACCCGGATAAAATGCACTCGAAGCACATACACAGACATCTTGATAATATGTGTTTTGTGCAACTGTTACAGCACAACACGCATAACAAATGGAGTTGTTTTGTGACGAAGATAAAAAATAGTAGACGAAAAAAAAAACGAACGGCTGGGCGAAACCCACGTGCAATAAATGAACAATGCGGAGAGGGCCAGTAAGAGGGAGATAACAACTGATGTCACATGAAAGCAACAAGCACTAAGGCACAAAGAACGGAGACACTGCTAGCTACGCTGCTGGCTCAAAACAATGTGACGTTAAAGATGAGTGTCTCGGTCAGAGATCTTGTGGTAAGCACTAACCAAATCATTCGAACTTTTCGAAAATTTTCTCTGAAGCAGTGTTGGTTTACTGCATTCCTCAGTTAAGTAAAAGGCAAGTCTGGGCGACCGGCGGCCCAGATCCGGCCCGTGGAGAGAGTCGGAACGCGGTGGCTAACTAAACGAACAGGAGTTTTTATTCCGCCACGCCTCTGCACTCTCATGAAAATAAAAACTAAAATATGCACGAGACTAAAGACGACAATATGAAAAATACTTTTTAGAATTCAGATTTCAACAACTTTGCGTCCAAGCACAGAACTCACATTAACCTGCTGTTGCTTTTTTCTTTTTTTTACTGAGTAAACGACCTGATAAAAACTTATGTGTTTTTATGCGTTTTTGCATTTCAAGCAAATGCAAAACGCATTATTTCGAAAGAATGCCTGTGCGGCGACCTTTTCCCCCGCATGCAAGAAAAGACCAAAACACAAACACATGATAGAGCAAGAACCATTCGTACCGTTAACGATCTGATTGCGTCAAGTTAAACTTGAAAATGCATAATCCAAGCTGGCGCGCTGCTGCCTGGGTTTTATGAAAAGGCAGTCCGCGAGCTTAAATATGAAAATCAGGCCCGCTTGTTGCCAAAATTTGTCTATGCTTGTTAAAAGATTTCAAAAATGACACACGAGAATTTCATTCCTCGGACATCCGCAATTTTCGCGTTCGAAACGAACAAGAGGTCATAAGGAAGCAAACTAACATCTAGCATCTTATGAGCCGACACAGGATTTGCATGTTCCGTGGCACACTTTCTACAGAAGAATAAATCGCAAGTAAGGCACTTCATCGCCGCGAGTCGATTCTGCGGACAAGCCAATGACTGACATCTAAAAAAATAAAAAAATAAATAGCAGCATACACCAGAAGAGCCGCCACGACCATGCGTTTTGTGTAAACCCGCTAATGATTTTTACTGCTTTGGCCTGTGCGAAAATAGTTGAAATGTCGAAAAAAAGCTGAAAATTTCACGCATCGGTACGAGAAAGCTGATTTTGAAACCTCGAAGGGTGGATATCCTTACAAAATTCCAATCTCCTAATTTTCTGGCTTTTGAATGATCTTTAAAACAAAACTTTCATGTGGTCACACGTGAAGCTTCGGCAAACTTAGGAATTGAATTCGAGTTTGTGAAGTCAGAAATTTCAGGAGAATGTTTCCTGCGAGGGCAGGAAACATTCGCCTAAAATTTCTGCCTCCTAACTCCTCTGGTTCCCGAGTTAATGATTTTCTCGCCAAAACTTTCTCGGGGACGCTGAGAATTTGTGGAGTTGTACATGGGCAGAGGATGCCACGCTAAAATTTCAGCTTTCCAGTTTTTGCAGTTCACGAGACAATTTCCCTGTCAAAACTTTCACGGAAATGTACACGGTATCTAGAGGAGCGTGAAGGCCCAATCAAAATTTGCGCCCTTAAATTTCAGCCCTCTCCCCAACTTTCGTGGTTCCCGCGACAACAGTTTTCCCCGCCACAACATCCACGGGGTCGGAAGTGATACATGGGCGCGGGAATGTTGAACTTAAATTTGCGGAATTGCGTGTGGGTACAACGCACTACCGCAAAAATTCAGCTTCTTGGTTTTTGTCGTTTCCGAGATAATAATTTCCCGGCCAAAACTTCCACAGGGCCGTAACTGATACTCGAGAGGGCGGGAAAACTAGATCTGTATTTGCAAGGTCGTACGTGAGCAGGAACCACTGTCCAAAAATTTCAGTCTTCTAGATTCCATGGTTTCAGAGAGTTTTACCCGCCAAGACTTTCACGACGCCTTACGTTTTACACGCGGGCAGGGGAGATGTTTACAAAGTTTCAGCCGTCTAGTTCCCGTGGTTCCCGTGACAATAATTTCACCTGCCAAAACCTTTACGAAGCCGCACGTGTTACTCGCGGGCAAGAGGAAGCTGTATTTAAATTTGCGGGGTCACACACAGCGGGAAACACAACTCTAAATTTTCAGTTTCCTAGCTTTTGTAGTATCCGAGTTGAAAGTTGCGGACAAGTTGCTGTGGACACACAATCAAACACAGACAACTCCGTGATAATACGCGTTTTG